GGTTGGCAAGCTGACACCTGTAAGAGGCTGGCCACCAAAGTTGGTTATCTTCTAGAAGGACACACTACCCAAAGTCCTTCAGAATGTGGCCAAGGATGGTGGTGGTGCTTGGGAGACACAAAAGTCCTTTCAGAAGACAGAAACACTGTTAGGGACCATTGTCTTGGTAGTTCAGTGTGTTTACTTCTGTTCCAAGTTGGTACTCTATATTTTGTTTTTCTACCCCAGCATCACAGGTTGTGATGGGCCAATGTGAGAGGGACAGTTGGCTTCCAGCTCATAGGTCATATGGACTGCTGGGGAATTAATGGCCATCAGCCAGGGGCTGTGGTCTCTGAGGAGGATGCAGGGTCCGGATGGAACTTCCCAGCAACAATCTTGGGACTAACTATAGACAGACAATTACATGCCCACCAATAAATATTCTCTCTTTTATCTGGCTGCAGCCCAGAAAATATGGAGTTCTCAGGGCCCTGCAGCTATGATGACCAGCCTTTCCTCATGGAGCTGACCAGAGGCAATGTGTACAACCTCCATCTCACTTTGAGACAAGAAATGTCTCACTGGCTCTAGGGCTCCTTCTTGCTCAGAGGCAAAACTAGTGCCCTACAAAGTTGTGGCCCCTCTGCCTGTGTCTTTGAGTGACTGCCAAGCACAAGCCTGCTGGTCTTGCAAGGCTTACTGCGTTACAGATACACTTCCATGCTTCAAAGGCATTCTAGTAGATGATTAGAGCAGTTTCCCTAACACACACTATTATGTCTCTATATGGGCCAAAACCTGAAAAAAAGAATGGAAAAACTTTGTTGTTGTTGTTTTGAGACACGGTTTCTCAGTAGCTACAGAGCCTGTCCTGGAACTTTCTCTGGAGACCAGGCTGGCCTCGAACTTACAGAGATCCACCTGGCTCTGCCTCCAGAGTGCTGGGATTAAAGGAATGTGCCACCATTGCCCGTCTCTGTAAAAACTTAAAACAGATGGTTTGATGAGAAGTCTGGTGCCCACATTGGGAAGCTCACAAATGCTATAAGGAATCTGATGTGTCTGGCTTCCTCAGACACATGTGTGCTTATACTCACAAAGTCATAAATGCACACACATAAATAAAACTAAACCTTTAAAAATAAATTCTTGCAGCAGGTATGGCAGTACACATCTTTAATCCCAGCATTCGGAAAGCAGAGGCAGGCAGAACTCTGAGTTTGAGGTTAGCCTGGTCTACTTAGTAAGTTCCAGGCCAACCAGGGCTACACACTGAGACCCTGTCTCAAGCAAACAAAAACCAAAACTCTAATAACTGAGGGTCGAGGACCAGGCCTGTCTGCATATTCTCCAGGAAGGAAGACAGCACTGAAAGGCAACAACAGAGGGCAGTGGTACAGACATGAGGCCAGTTCTCACCTGAACTTTGTGAAACATCTGTAAATTAATTGCTTTGACTTCCTCCAGCTGCTGGCGGAGGGCGACCAGCGTGTCCTGCTTCTCATGGGTGTCCTTCTCTAGTAACTTCATGGCGATTTCCATCTCAGTCTTCATTCCAATCTGTAACTCCAGTTCCTTTTCTAGTTCCTTTAAAGACATGAACGAGGAGAGTCTACTGAGGAAGAAGCAGGATCATATTTAACTGAGGTGGGAGTCACTGCAGGACAGGGCAAGCTTGCAAGATGGGATTACTTAGATTCATTCTCTCCTCCCCACTTCCTACCTGCCTGCCTTCTTTCCTCTGTCCCTCTCACCTTCCCTTTCTCTTCTCCCCTCTTCTTAGTTTTGGAGGGAGTTTAACTGTGTGACCTAGGATGCCTCGGCTCACAGGTTGCTGGGAGTACAGTAGCAGCACGCTGGCTCTGTATCAAGGCAACAGAACACTGACTTGGCAACATGAGCCCAGAGTTCTAGAAGCCAGGTTGTCCCCCAAAGGGAAACATAACCCAGGGTCTGCAGGGAGACTACAGTTTCTGAACACTTTGGACTTTCCCACCATTCTGAAATGGTTCTGTCCTTGGTACCTCGGGGCACAGTGCTCCATATTCATTCCAGGAAGCCAAGACAAGAAAGCAGGAGAACCAGGTTCGAAAAGGAACTGTGGCTGCCAATGCACAGAGTAAAGTAAGTGGCCAGCGCCTATGATTGAGGGGACAGACCAGTCTGTAACAATCTCTAGGAAAGACTCATATGCGTGTATGTAGAGTATCGACAGGTTCATGGAGACTGGAGGACCACTGACAGACTCTCCCTCAGGGCGCTGGGTCCCACTCACCAGCCGCACTTTTTTCTCCTCCTTCAGCTGCTTCCACACATCGCTGTACATTTCGTCCAGGCCCTGCCGGGTCTGCTTGTAAGTCTCCAGCTCTACTTTGGTGTCCTGTTTCGTTATCTGAATCACACAAGAACACCAAGAATGACTCACTCTTGGGAAGGAAACTACCTAACATTTCAAAATATATCACAATCCTAGAAAGAAAAAAAAGGATAATTTTCTACTACTTTATTTTTTGTTATT